TCATAAGGTTGACGGAAACTCGGGGACTGCGCCTACCTGATGAGCCCCAAGAACGGCGAAACCGGTCGCGGGTTGTCGAAGAGTTTTCAGCAACCTTGTGAGTAGTTTCCCTACATCATTATTTATTGGCGAGAATGAGAAAAACACGGATTAACCTGTAATCAAATAACTGGATGAAATTTTTGAAACTAATACAGCTGAACAACAAAGAGAATAGGGTGAAAAAATGTGATGAAGAATTTCAGAGCCCAAACACACGAAAGACATGAAGGAACATATGTTCGGATAGAAGGATACAATCTCCCGGCAATCAACTCACATTGCCTGATGGGTATCCAAGGAAACTAATTTTGATACATCCACGATCCTTAGTCAACCTCTACTGGTCTGAATTTGTTCTGCATTTGAATCACAATGATTCTCAAATTTGAGCTAACATAGACTATTCCATGAACTAGTTTACGAAACGAAGCGAGTCTCCTGTGATGCTGACAAAAAATATGTCGTTGAGGAAGGCCTACACTCTGCTTGATCAGAAAAAAACATTAGGTTGTCTGCCATCGGTAGCTGATATCTTTGTTTAACCTTTAGGACGGTGGATTGTAGGAATTCTGGAGACAGTGTGATGGTTCCCCATTCAGATAGTGTGTCAGGAGAAATAAAGACAGTCGAGACCGCCTGTCTGTTTTATCTTCCCCATCGAACAAATATGCTATACGAAGTTGCATGATATGGGAAACGTTTCATCTTGGTTCAGATTCGGGCAGAGTACTATCTCATCCTTGGAATACGCAACTATTGAAGTATAACAGTAATACTCCACTCTGGATGGGTTTGTGTTGCCGCGAGTAGTAAATACCGAATGCTGAGTTCCGACTTACGACTGAACATGTCACAGTTTTGTCTTGACGAATGAAGCAAGATGTCGGATATTTGTTCACATTTCAATGATATTCTGCAGGGCAAGTGACGTCATGCCTCATTTATGCTGGGAATGTTGTCCATCCTTCTTATCTTGTCGACTCCGGACACGTGGCGACTAATGGTGGCTGTTTTTTCTTATTTGATTGAAAACGTTTCATCACCAATCGAGGTGACATGATCAGCTGAGTGAACAATCCAGTGACCATCTGCTCTACGTGAACTGCCCACTTCTCCTCAGTATTCTCAATAGAAACTCAGTGAATGAGATAGCTGAAGCATAGCTACTCAATTTCCATCGGTGCCAGTTCGTTTTCAGGCTCGTTAGTAATTTTGAAACCCCAGAAGGGATTGACAAGCCCTGGAGTTTCGTGAGACGCAAACTATTGATTATTGATTATTCTCAATGAGGATAAAACACCTATGCTTCTCGGTATAGACTTCCTTCATTCACAAGACAAAATCTCAGCTAAGTAGTTCGTTCTGTGCGTAATTTCTTGTAGGCAAAAAGTTGTTTCCATTGTGAACCTTTAAAACCACCGAGGATACAATCGTGCCCCGTCACCTTGTCGCGATTATTGCTCGCTTCTAGTGACGGCACGTAACGCGGAGATGAACTCATCCTCAGAAGTTTTGTGACTCAGCAAGTGAGCACACTGCGCTACAGATGTACATTTATGTGTGAAATTGATCGTTCGGTGGCGACGCTTGCTCACACACATGTACAGTACTACTCTACACGATAGAGACTGTAAGATTGATGGAACACCAAAACAGGCGAACCAGACGTTAAACCTAGAATATGTAGGCCTCTAGTGATCGCAGTTCATTGCACAACCAGTAAAGAAATCACCAGGCAAAGTCGAAGAGCTGAACATTGCAGGATTTCAATTGTTTGGACTCCTATACTGTTTATGCAATGCAAATTCTGGATGAAAATTTGGACATCTCATGAGAAATGGTGTTGAAAAATGACATTTATTAAATTTGGTATTTTGTACACCAACTGATTTGAGTTTGAGTATCAGATGCCGTGAACTAGCTAGCATTTGTCTAGGCTGACTCCACTACTCAAAAGGTTGCTGAAAACACTCCTTGAACTAGCTAGCATTTGTCTAGGCGGAACACACTACTCAAAAGGTTGCTGAAAACACTCCGACACCCCCACGACAGGTCCCACTCCTCTTGGGCTCCTCGGGTGGGCAAAGTCCCCAAATATCACGAACGAGAGTTTAAACCGGGTTGATTAAAGTCTCCCTTTAAAACCAAATCAGTGTGTAAATGAGTGTTAGTCAGCTTATCTCTATTTAACACAGGACTCTTCTGGCTTCCCCAGTCTTATTGGAATCCGCTGATTATATGAATCGAAGGAATACTAAGATTCCGGATTTGCGTGCACCGGCATAAAAAATGGTGTAGTAGAGGATTCAGCAGGCGTTTACATTCGCCACTATACAGAGGCATGTTTTTTTTAGTGTGCATCTCCCTAAAATCAGGAGAGTCTCCAATCCGCAACCTCTCGGCTAGTAGTGTGAACAGTTAACCGTTCGACAACGAGCAGCTGATTAGCAGTGCGAATGACTCGCAGTTGGGCAGGATCTGGTGTCGTTCATCCTTCAACCACAGGAGCCGGATCACGTGTTCACACACGTTGAATATCTCCTCGATGGATAACACTTCATCTCGTGAGATTACTCTACTGCTGAGCGACTTACAAACTGGTGGTAACGTGAACGAGTTTGGGGATCCTGAATTTAGATTGTGTCTTGTAATTGCGAATTCTAAGTAATCGTGAGTTAATCACAATGCCGGTCAACCGCTCATAGCTGGACGTTTATGTTTCAACTACTGGCCGTGAGATCTCAGTTTCGAAGCTGCCTACCAGAATTCTGCAAGATCCGCACCCTACCGATAACTCCCAATAAAGATGAAACAATTGTACAGTAGTTCTCGGCTTCTCATCATAGACGGGCTCTACTCACAGGACGAAAATTCAATTTTTGTTGCAAAACAATTGACAACAATAAGACTAGCCATATTCTCGGCATATCGGTGGCAAGGAAAGATTTATTAGGAAAAAAACTAGTACACTGCAGCCCAAAAAGAGGAAGGAGTGCGTGGAACTAAAACTTGGTGTGGTCAATGTCTTGATAGATTCTAGTACATGATAGACTGTGATGCGCTGATGGGTGTCGCGTCAGGGAGAATTAACCAAAAGTAAGTGTCAAACGCACAATATATGATGACTGGATGTGGGATGGACGCAAAGTGTGCGGTTTGTGGAGCTATAGTAACCAGGAGGATACGGAGCAACCACGAACAGACCAAATCAGACTGTAGTTTCATCACGAGTACGTTTGCGGCGTAAAAGCAATATCTAAATGTCACACATCAAGGCTGGCGAAAAATTAGATTTGCGACGAATGATTAGCTACAAATCACACTGTGGACACACGGACGCGACTGATTTCCTTACTTGGTTGTCAAGCAGGCAATACGGTTAGACCGAATCTACTTTGAATGTACGGACAGGTCAGTTAGGCCGTCCAACCGGTCCTAATATGTCTGTATTGAGAATTTATGTGAATCTGTCAAGTTGGCTGTTAGTGACTGCGGGGTTTGTGGAATTCACGTTCACGGCACTCTCCTTTGATCGTCCTTCCGTTCTAGTGTGTCTACACACAAGGGAGAGGCAGTGGGCTCGAGTTTTGCTCTTTTTAACGCTCATAGAAAGTACCTTGGGGTTGGAACTTCTGACGTGCCAGGCGAGCGCGCTTGACACATGTGAAATTTCACAGGTGAACGTGTTCACGCTTGCGCGATGTATCACATTTCTAGGCCAATTAATTTTGCAGTGTGTTGATCGTGAAAGAAATCGATATGAGATGAAGTGTTGGCGCATGGAGTTGATTTCCAGTTATGTGAATGGGTATTCTATCCAGACTTGGCAGTTGACGCCCCTTGCATGCTGGTCGCCCCAAATGCTTCCACTAGGATCCACTACCCAATAAAAATCGAGCGTTCAGGTTTGACACTCTTTTGGTACTCAGCTGTCCTGTCACCCGGAGGAAGCACAAGGGCTGAGATAATGCCAGGTTGCCTAAACAGTTCAGATCCCTGGGTTGGGTGCAAACCACGGACCTTCTGGTTAGGAACTTCTTGCCCGAACCGCTGAGAGTTTCGTGGTCCTGTATAGTCATGCTTTGAAGAAATGTTTACCGGGTATGATCATCGAATGTCGGCGAGGAACTTGAGATATTTTAACCCTCAACAGCGCACCCCGTATGTTCTTCATACATTACATATATTAGGTCAACTTGTACTCTGGCGCTAAGCGCTTCTAATCTGACTGTGTAATCGTCTGCTGTTGCAATGAACTTTCAAAACGATGAACGAAGCATAAAAAAACTGGTTACTCGGGCATCAAATTTTTGTTGGATAGAGTCTAAAACCTGCCGAAAATTCGCACATTATCCATGGTTATTAAGCCTTTTGGTTAGTGTTCACGTTCTCATGTATTTAGTGCTCAACTTAAAGTTTCATTGATTAAGTATGATCTAGGTAGCGAAACTAGCCTGACGCTCACCTTGGGTGAATGGGAACCGGTGTGGTGCAGAATACTTCAGATCCGTCTTCAGCTAACTCTTTCTTTGTCGTGAAAAGACCACCATTATTATCACTATGAGCTCCGGAAGATTGACTGAGAAAGCGACTGTGGTCTTTTTGTTGATAATTTCGTTTCATTTTTCGTCTTGACTCTCTGGGCCGATTAGCCTGGTTCAGTGGAACTGCTGATGGGCTTTCATTGCCCTGATGCGATTGATCAAATGACAACGACCTTCGGTCCGATAGTAGGGGAGTTTGGGGAAACTCCATAGCTGTTTCCGAGTTCGAAAGCTCTTTCACAATATCTCCTATTTGTACCTGTCCATCAGCATCTGTGTCAAGCCCATCAAAAAGGGCACTCGCCAAATCCGGCGACAAATTGATACCGTCCTGTGCGCACAGCTTGATCCACTCAGTCTTGTCGAGAAATCCGTTCTGTTCAAGATCGTAGTCCTTTAGTAGTTCCTGTAGTGCTTCTGTAGCCATAGCTCAAGGAGATGCGTTGCTTGTTGTCGACGAGAAATTCATTAAATGAATAAATGTCATCCCACTATACCCAAAGCAATTTTATCACGTTCTTTCGCTGTGTATTGATCAAGAAACGCAGTCCATGCACCAACCAACCAACTGACTGACCTACTCACAAAATTACTCAGACAAACTCACTCACACACATACATACATGTCGGCACACTGGTGAAACCGCGAGTTGATCGGTTAATGATACATCCACCAGGCTAACAAGACGACACAAGCAACAGCAAATCTTCAATCTCTTGCATCAACTCACAATTCCTGTCAGTTTACAAGGTACACTTGTGCAACCTAATTATAAGGTTGCAGTTTCATGTGGTTGCCTGTGGTGGTTCACTGTACCAGACAGGGATTATTCATTCATTAATGCACTACTGATATTTTCACTGGTGAGTGGTGCATACTGGGGAACAGTGAGTTTATGAATGCAACTGATTGCCGTGGACAACAGTCTATGCGAGGACACAACTGGTTTCTAGCTGGTTACTCTGAGAGCCATCATCGTGCATTCTGTCTCTTTGAAGACGGTCTTTGTTGTTCCTAGTGCTAATATTTCATGGTTCGGTGGATCTTTGGCCCAATCGAAACTCGCCTGATCCCCTTGAGTGCTGGGAAATTAAATCAGACACCTTGAAAGCTGGAACATGAAACTGAACAGTTGTAGAAGCATATTTGTGCTTTGGTATGATATACTAAGGCTATATTGTAGCGGTGCTGACTCATGTGTTAGACCATACACCACGATATTGATTAGAGTTGAAAATTCAAATAAAGCCCCTCAGTTCGGGATCATAGCCCTCTCTGGATATTTCATATATCTTCAAGTTGTTCAAGCCAACGGACATCGGTACTACTACTACTACTATTATTATTTTTATTTATTTAGTACTATTATCGTTTATTTTTGAAGAGTATAGTCACAAACATAAGTTGTTCAACGGACATCGGTACTACTACTACTACTATTATTATTTTTATTTATTTAGTACTATTATCGTTTATTTTTGAAGAGTATAGTATAGTCCATAAAAAGTAAATGCAAACGATGAATGCGAAAGAGTAATAGGAGAATATGCGAGAAAAGAGAGAAACGTCTCATTCGAAATCATGCCATTTCCAGTCTGATGGGGTGAATCCCAAAGTATGTAAAGATTTTGGTATG